TTGGCGTCAAGAGCTTTATCTTCAATGTCACTAATTCTAACTTCTACTGCCTCAATTCTGCTCCTATGACTTTCTATTGAGTTGTCTAATTCTGAAATGTTATTGTTAATCTTCTAGATTTCTGATTGCTGTCTCTCTATGGATTCTTGCAGCCTATTAAATTTGGCATTATGTTCTCAAATAACTTTTTTAATTTCCTCTACTACTGTGTCTGTATGTTGCCTGGCAGTTTCTGCACTCAGTTGAATTTCCTTTCTTATTTCTAGAAGAGTTCTGTATATTAATCTTTTGTATTCTGTCTCTGGTATTTCCAAGAAGTTCTCTTCCTCCAGAGATTTTATTGATTATTTTGGGAGCTTGCTGAAGCCATCATGAACTGCCTCTTTATGTGACTTGATATTGACTGTTGTCTCTGAGCCATCAATAATTTATTATAATTTTATTTTGTGTTTGCCTAGTGAGACCTAGCTTCTTATTTTGTTTTGTTTTGATATGCCCAAATAGGCTGCTTGTGTGTACTAGTTTGATTTTTGACACCTTTTGATCTCTAATGTCTTGTCACCAGGTAGTTGGTTCTGTAACTAAGTATGTGCACACGGGAGTTCATTAAAATTTCCTTTATGGGATCAGCTCGGGTGTGCAGGCAGTCGATCTCCAAGTGTGTGATGCAGGCTCTCACCCCCAGTCCTAGAGAGGCATGGGTGATTGGTGCAGGCACTGCACTCTGGCTGTCGTAGGGGATCATATGCTGAGCCAGGCAGGGGGCCGACGGCTGCCCCTGGGAGACTGAAAGAAAAGCGTCTCCCTATTCTCTAGGGTGAATAGGTAGGTGAGTTTTGCAGCTGGGCTAAGAGCGCCCCACTATGTTGGCTGCAAAGACTCGAGGGCACCACTTTTTCTTGAACTCCTGAGGCAGGTGACTAGACACTTTAGGAACTATCACCAGTCCTCAAGACCCTGCTGCAGATCGATAAAAGTGCCTAGTTGAGGGACAGGGCTGTTTCGAGGATCACAAATCTGCCTGTTCACAGCTGAAGCAGTTGAAGTTAAACTTCAGATGTTCGCCCTGTTGTACTGTGGTAGTGAGGGCTAACACTGTTGAGATGGATCCCCACAAGTCTATACAAGGGTGTGTGGCACTCAGAGTCTGCGGACCCCTGATTTCTATGGCCAGCAAAGGAGTTGTGCTGACCCTGTGTTCCTGGCCTAGAGGAGCCAGCAGCTTATTTGTTCCCTCTCCAAGGCTAGGAGAATGGGTCAGGGCACCTTTTGGGATCTATTTCTGGCCCAGTGGACTCCCGGTGCAGAGCAGGGAGGGAAGTGGTAAAAGGAAGAGAGGTTTTTCCCAAATCCGGTGGAGAGCGCGGAGATAGGAGGTAAAAGGGAGAGAGGTTTTTCCCAAATGGGCTTTTTTTTTTTTTAACTTGCTGTGAAAGGGTGCATGCATGTACTTATCCTAGCCTCTTGGGAGCTGCTCTTCACTGGTTCGGAGTGTCCAAGCAGAATCTCTGCTGCCGGGTCTCTCTCAATATGGAAGCTGCTTCTTGAGTGTGCGCACAGCACAGCTGTTTGCCTGCTTCACCGTGGACCAGTGTGGCTGTGTCTCTGCAGTTTCGCCACCACGGCTCTAGCGCTCCTCACCTCTTCCAAACAGTCTTCCTCTCCCATATGACTCAGATGGATTTCTTAACCTTGCCTTGTTCAGGGCTGCCAGATGTTCACATAGAATCAAATCACTTGTTTTTCCAGGTCTTTGTTGTAAGAGGGATATAGGAAGCGTCTAACTAGTCCGCCGTGTTGATCACGCCCCTCCACAATTGGAAAATTATTATCTGTGATATTGAAGATTAAGTGATCTTGTTCAATTTAACTTTCCACTCAGTGGCTGATTTCTGAACCTTGGACCTCTTTAATAAAAAAAGAAATTAAAGAAGACTTCAGGGGATATTTTGGTTTAAGGTTTAAAGAGTATCTCAAAGCAATAGTTTTGGGGTTCATCTAGCCCCAATGATTCCAGAAAATCTGGATTCCATGAGAATTTGAAATTCCATGCTTCATTTTAAAGTCTTCTTTAAACCAAACAGTAGTTTATGTTAATTAGTTAAAGATGTCTGCCTTGACCATTGTATTCTCTTAAGAACTATTTCTGTTGGATCAAATTGACAGCAGCAACTCAAAAGAGTAGATAGAAACTTAGGGGACAGTGAGTTTATGTTAACGGGGGAGGAAAAATTCAGAAAAGGAGGGCAGTATGGTTGCACAACTTGAAGAATGCTGTCAATCACTGAACTGCACATGTAGAAATTGTTGAATGTGTATATTCTCAACAATAACAACAAATATATTAAAAGAAAAACAAGTTTTAAAAGGAATTAAAATCTATCAAACTTTTACTCATTGTACTTCTGCCTGTACCAAACCAAACTCACTACTGTCAAGTCAATTCTGGCTCATAGCGACCATGTAGGACAGAGTAGAACTGCCTCCTGAAGTTTCTAAGGCTGTAAATATTTACAGAAGCAGACTGCCACATCTTTCTCCCGCAGAGCGGCTGGTGGGTTCCAACTGCCGACCTTTTGGTTAGCAGCTGAGCACTTAACCACTGCACTACCAGGGCTGCTTTTCTGCCTAGAGGTTTGAATTGACCCTGTATTCAAATTATTTGACTATGCACTGTTTTAATCTTTTCTCCCAAATAATCCTTTCTTTTTTTTTTTTTTGCAGAACTGATCTATTCTGGTTTTTGTAAGCAAATCAATCATCTACATATGTTCCTATTAGGAGTCAAAAATAGCTACACATGCACAATAGTTAAAAAAATAAATAAATAATTCAAAGCCACTTATTTCTGTTAAAAAAATAGGTGGTGACATAAGGAGGACAGATCTTTCTATGTAAATCTATGAAACCAAGTATTCATAGATCAGCTCTGTTAATTAATGCTAACACTGATTAATACTGTTGTTTAATGCTAATAATATGCACATTGCTTTTTATTTCAGGAAAAAAATACATGAATACAAACTTAAAATATGATCTGTGTTTTATTTGGTAAAATTTTCTCTGGACTAACGGTTTAAATACTTTTGTTATTGTAGGATACTGTGACCTGGACATGGCAAGGATATACATTGTAAGTTGCTTATGTCTATTATTAGTTTATATAAATTTTATTTTAGTGGAGAAAGATCATTTATTACTATTTTTTAAAAAAGCCTTGTTTTTGTAAACATAAAGACTTACAATCAGACTCTTATATCTTATAACTGATAAGTCTCTGCATAGAGCTTCGCCATCTTGCCCATTAATCTCTGGGGCCTCTACGTGCAGAATGCTTGTCATCTATCCTGTTCCAAAGACCAGTTCTTAAGGAACATTCTAGAGGCCTAGTTTGCATCATACTTAGCTTTAAGTTTGTAGTTTAGTTTCCTTTGCCGATTTATTATCTAATGTCTCCATTGTTAGTTTCCTATATTGGCTTGAGCAGTCCAGAGCAATTTAGTCATATAGCCTGAAATAGTTATGATGTGTCTGATTTGAGTTGAGAAAATAGCTAACCAAGATTTCAGTTCTGTTCTTGGATTTTAAAAGCATAGGGATCAGCAGTTTTTATAAGCACTTAAGAGAAGAGGGGAATACAGTTTCACTATTAAGCAAGCTGAAGTGAAATAGTCCTTTAAAAAGAACAGAATATGTAGCATCTTACTTTCTCGCAGGAAGATCCTTTGTTTAGTCCCCCTTGGATAAGTCTGAGCTTGTTTATTGGTGAGAGCCATGTGAGACACCTGGATTTGAAGACTCCCCAGGGAGTTACCCAGTAGTGCCTTTTGATTTGTGTTATGCAGGGAGCTCAGACAGCATTGGTGATGGGTAGAGGTGACAACCACTTGAAAACATTTAAAGGGAAATCATCATCGCCTTCAAGCACATAGTGGTCTTTAGTACCTCTTAATTAATCCAACCAACTTCTGAGAACCAGAATTTTTTTTTAATTAAATATTGCATACTTATTTTCTCAACTTTTTTGTGCGTGTATTGCTTTGAAACAATTCATTTAAATCAGAATAGGTAACTGGTAGCCCAGTGGAATAAACATTAACACATGTGAGACATTTATGTTCCTGTTATGCTTCAGTCCTTGGTAGTTGAAATTAAGCAAACAACACCCAAAATGAAGAACAAAAGTTGTAAAGGGTATCTAGACATTATGTTATGTTTAACTCTCTAGGAAACAAATTTATTCATTCAGCTAGGAAGCATGTTTCATGCCACTATTGAATTTGAATTCCTTGTTTTTAGCTTTTATACAAGGGGAAGATTAGGAGAAGCAAGTAGATGAAAGCATTTTAGAAAAAGAAGTGCCTGGAAATTGAATGGGTAGCATATTTATGTTTCCTTGAGTGTGTCATTTTTTGGGTCTTTATAAGTTAAGATCCTCATGGAGATAATGACTTTGGCTTCACTATGTGGTCAACATGATTCTTTTTGGTTGTGCAGTCATCCAGGTTGATGTGAAGGTCAAGTAGGAGAAGGCTTTTCTGGAAGGAGGATTAGAGGTAGAAAATCGAGTGGTTTAGTTAATTTAGCCTTCTAACCTGGAAAGTGTGTGATAAAGGAAAAAAGAGAAGAGAGAATTCAAGAAAGGAAAGAAAATAACTATTTTAAGAGTCAAAGATTTCTTAGGGCTTATAAACAATACACAAAAACTTTAAAAGGCACAAGTGTGTTTTGTCCAAATGCCACATTGCACTCATTGATCATAGCAAATTTCATTTTCACCTGGGTCTTCTGGTCTACTTAATGTTATTGTTAGCACTGTATCTATTACTTCTAAATCAGTTTTCTCCATTGCGCTTTCTCCTAGTGCTACTCTAGACTCAGAGTCTAAGGAAGAGTTTTTAAACCAAAGAGTGTGTCCTAAGGGAGAAAGAGAGTCAGGGAGTAAACTCAGAGAAGGCGCAGCTATGGAAAAGCTGTTTTGTGTCAGTGTTGTTTAGCTTGTCTGTAGTGTAGACAAGACAGGTTTAATGAGATCTTATGAGTGGTTTCATTTTCTTTACAGCATTCAAAATTTACAGAACAGAACATGCATTTAACAAATAATCGAATTCCAAAGCTCAATTTAAGTAATGAAAAAACAATTTATGGAGGATAATATGGATTGACTTTGTTTAATTGGTGTTAATAATAGAAGACTTTTCCTCTTTCAGGTGGAAGGCTTGAGAACTGACACATTAACGATTTATACTTAGTTATGGAAGTCTCCTATTTCCTAAATTCCTTCTTTTAGCTAAGTTCCTTATTTAAATTCCTTATCTTAACTAAGTCCCTCTGATTAATATTTACAGATAAATCATATGTTAATTTCTTAATAGGAAAAAAAATGATTGGTTGGTTATTTTCTTAACCATGTACTCTAATACACTCGGCCTGAATTCTCGATCATCTGTCTAAATAAGGCTGAACTAAAAATTCCATAGAAATCTTATCCAGCAAGGCTAAATATGTACTGGAAAGCTAAAAGTAGGAACAACTATTTCAAAATTATCTTTGAGAGTGTTGGTTAACCACTTTAAAGAAAACCTTTGTCTAGCTTTACAATGAAATTTGAAGCTTTGTGGAAAATTTCTCCATAACTAAAACATTTATTAGGTACTGAGACAATTATGATAAGGTGTCGGCTTTTAAGGAAAGGCCCACTGATTCTTTTTAATGTCAGAAAAGAATTTAGATAGGTAATGTTCCACTGTACTCTGTTATAAACACATTTTATTTATATACCTTAAATTGTAGCCTTGGGTAGTTTATCTAGGGAAGTAGGCCTATGCGTCCTTGTTGTCAAGGAGACTTCAGATTTGGGGTTTAATCTGCTGAGCTGTAGCTCTGACTCACAAAATATATATTTGATATTGCCTTTGGTGATTTAACTTTAAATATCAAGAATGGTTGTCTAAGCCCAAGAAGTACTATAGTCTCAGTGTGGTATTTATAAAAGCAAAATATGTATGAAGTGTGACACAGGGAAGGGGATGTGTGAAAAAGGAGATTATTGCATACTATTAGGTGATACTTGTAGTGCCATAATAAGAGAGCCCTCCATTTTTTCTCTTCAGCATTCAGCTTTGCGTGCTCACTTTCTGCCAGCCCTTCACCAAAGTGGAAGTTGAGGTAAGTTGTTCAAAAGGTTGCCTTGGAACTTGAGACTTGGCTTTTCCTATTATTTTGAATTTCTAGTCCAGAGAGAACAGATGGAGAAAGGTTTGAAGTTAAATCCACCACCTTTACAGTAAGCCCTGGTCTTTTCCAAATTGTGTGCCTAAACCCAGGCTGTTAGACCTAGCCTGAGAGTTGTGTTACAAGACACCTGTAACTTCTGGAAACTTCCAAACTGTAACCACCCTGGCTGGTCAGATTTGCATCACCTACTCCTGTCTTTTTCTTATTCCTTTTTTTTTTTTTTTAATGTAATTGAAAAA